CGCTTAGTAATTGGGTTGTTGACGTTTATTTATTAGTTTTTGGGTTATTTAATTTTCTTTTCTTTTCTTTTTTTTTTGCCTATCTGGTTTCATGGTTAGTTGGCTTCCAAATACCAGATTCATATTTTGGGTATAGATGATTGGGTCATTATTTATTTTTCCTCTCCCTCTTCTTCCTTTTCCTCCCCTTCCTCTTCTTCCTCTTCTTCCTCTTTTTCCTCCTCTTCCTCTTCTTCCTCTTCTTCCTCTTCTTCCTCCTCTTCTTCCTCTTCTCCCTGTCGCATCTTGCGTTGCCCTTCCTTTCTCTCGTCTCGCATATCTCATTTTTCATCTCCTCTTTCCCCCTTTCTCATCTCGCTTCTCCCCTCTTCCCCTGTCCTCTCTCCACTTCCCAGCTCCTCTCCTCTCTCCCCTCTGCCCATCGTCTCTCCCCTCCTCCCCTCTCTTCTCCCCTTATCCACTGTCCCCCCTCCTCCCCTCTTTCTCTCCCTCCCCTCCCCTCCTCTCCTCCCTCTCCTCTCTCCTCTTCCTCTCCCCTCATCCATTCTTCCTCTCCCCTCATTCCTCTCATCCTCCCTTGTTTTGTTTTGGACGCAGAGTTTGCATCGGAGCGGTCCGTGACGGTGGCAGTGTGTGTGTGTGCATACAGGTCCCTGGGACTATGCAGTCATAGATTTTTCTTGGCTTGAAGGGAGCATTCTCTCTCTCTCTCTCTCTCTCTCTCTCTCTCTCTCTCTCTCTCCTCTCTCTCTCTCTCTCTCTCTCTCTCTCTCTCTCTCTCTCTCTCTCTCTCTCTCTCTCCTTCCTCTCTCTCTCTCTCTCTCCTTCCTTTCTCTCTCTCTCTCTCTCCTTCCTTTCTCTCTCTCTCTCTCTCTCTCTCTCTCTCTCTCTCTCTCTCTCTCTCTCTCCCCCCCCCTTCCTTCCTTCCTTTCTCTCTCTCCCCCCCCCCTTCCTTCCTTCCTTTCTCTCTCCACTCCCTCCCTCTCTCCCTCCTATCCCCCATTCTCACACATCCTCTCCTTTTCTCTCACATTCCCTTTCCACCCTCTCTCCATTTCCCTTTTTCCTTCCTCTTCTCCTTATATCCCTTTATCCTTCCCTTTATCTCTTCCCCTCACCCACCACCACCTACTACCCTTCACTATCCCTTCTACCCCTACTATCCCCACCACCACCCACAACTCCCACCATCACCCACTACCCTCCACTACCCCCACCACTCCTCACTACCCCCCATCACCCCCCCACCACCACCCACTACCCATCACTACCCCTCACCACCCCCCGCCCCCTCTCCGTCAGTAGCAAACACGCATCTAGATTTGTTCCCGGGGAAATTTGCGGCTTGTTTGATATGTTGTGTTTATGTTTGCGATGTTGCCGCGTGCGGTTTGGTCCCGTCGTTCCCGCTGCTGCTGTTGGCTGCCTGTTGTCATGCTCGGTTACTTGTTGGCTCTTGGTATTTCCAGCTTTTTTTTTTTGGGGGGGGGGATGGATGAGGATTGAGGGAGGATTTTGTTCGGTCTCTGTTTATCTCCTCTCTCTCTCTCTCTCTCTATGTCTTATTGCCTCCCCCCCCCCCCCATCTTCTCTTTGCAGTCCCAGGGGTCTCTTGCACTGTCAAGCACACCTGCCGACATTACATGTCTACACCTGTGCGCTCTGATGATCAGCTGTACATGTTTCTCTCCCTCCGTGTCCCTCTCTCGCTTCCTTTCTATTTTTTCCCATCTCTCTCTCTCTCTCTCTCTCTCTCTCTCTCTCTCTCTCTCTCTCTCACTCTCTCACTCTCTCACTCTCTCACTCTCTCTGGTTAACAACAACTGTAGCTAGATAGCGTGTCTACATGTCCTGTTAAATTGGACTGTAATGTTAAGTTACGAATACGAATGTGTAGTGAACGATAACTCGTTTATTTAAATCCCATATTTCACATCCATTTTTGACATAAAACTAATGTGTATTTTCTTCCTTTTCTGTGTAGTGGAGATTGACCTATTAATTCTTCCCCGTATTTCTCATTCATTTTTGTTTTGTTTTTTACATAAACTAATGTTTTTTTTCTTCATATTTTTCAGGTGAGTACAAAAACGACCGTCTTACCTAGCGAGCGGACCTTGGGTTGCAGAAAGCGAGCAATTAAAACCAACCAGGTTTGTTGTGGTCGTTGTTGGTGTTAGGAAGGTCGTCCACTCCGTTCTGATGTGGTTTGGTACGACTTTGGGATGGTGGTGGTGCTGTGGATACTAAGGGTGTGGGGTTAGGTGGGGTTGGGGAGGAGGGGGGGTTGGGGTTGGGTTAAAGGAGGAAGGGGGTTGGGTGGGGTTGGGGTGGAAGGGGGTTGGGTGGGGTTGGGGTGGAAGGGGGTTGGGTGGGGTTAAGGAGGAGGGGGTTGGGTGGGGTTGGGGTGGAAGGGGATTGTGTGGGGTTAGGGAGGAGGGGGTTGGGTGGGGTTAGGGAGGAGGGGCCTGGCTGGGGAATGGGAAGGGTAGGGGATGGGTCAGAAACGGGGGGGGGTGGAAGGGCAGGAGCAGGGACTGGGATAGGTATCAGGGCCGGAGGTAGGGGCAGGGGCAGGGGCAGGGATTGGGACAGGGACAGGCACAGGACAGGGATTAAGACCGGGATAGGGACAAGGGGCGAGGGTAGGGACAGGGACTGGGAAAAGGTGCTGGACAAGGAGCGGGTTAGGGACCAGGACCATTACAGGGACAAGGGCTGAGGTAGGGACGAGGGACAGGAGAGCGGGGGCAGCCAGGCGTTCCACTGAGCCAGCTGCTCCTTCCTCCCTAAGATGTCGGGGGGAAAAAAACTCGCTCCCTTTAACCACAAGGCCGAGAGGGAGCTAGGAGTTGGTGAGTCTCCCCCTCCGCTCCTTCCCTCCCTCTCTCCCTCCCTCTCCTCCTCCGCTCCTTCCCTCCCTCTCTCCCTCCCTCTCCTCCTCCGCTCCTTCCCTCCCTCTCTCCCTCCCTCCCTCCCTCTCTCCCTTCCCTCCTCTCTCTCTCTCCCTCCCTCCCTCTCTCCCTCCCTCTCTCCCTCCCTCCCTCTCTCCCTCCCTCTCCTCCCTCCCTCCCTCCCTCCCTCCCTTCCTCCCTCCCCTCTTTCCGCTTCCTCCATCCCTCCTTCCCTCCCTCCCTCTCTCTCTCCCTCCGTCCCTCTCTCTCTCCGTCTCTCCCTCTCTCCCTCCCTCTCTCCCTGCCTCCTTCCCTCCTTCCTCCTCTCTCCCTGCCTCCCTCTCTCTCTCTCTCTCTCTCTCTCTCTCTCTCTCTCTCTCATCTCGTCTCTCTCTCTCTCTCTCTCTCTCTCTCTCTCTCTCTCTCCCTCCCTCCCTCCCTCCCTCCCTCCCTCCCTCCTTCTCTCCCTCTCTCCCCTCTCCCTCTCTCCCCCTCTCCCTCTCTCCCCCTCTCCCTCTCTCCCTCTCTCCCTCCCTCCCTCCCTCCCTCCCTCCCTCCCTCCCTCCCTCCCTCTCTCCTTCCGTTTCCTTTATCCCTCCCTCCCCTCCATTCTCCTCCTGTCCCTCCCTCCCCTCCCACTATCCTCTCCTCCCTCCCTCCTTCCCTAGGTGCAATCATCACCACTCCGGTCAGATTGTCCTGCGAAGGATGCTGTGGAGACTTTTACTTGCTTTCTTCTTGCTTATTGGCCCTCCCCCCCCATGCCCTTGCTCTTGCTCTTTATTATTATTTTTTTATTATTTTTATTGTTATTTTCTTATAGCTTATATGGTTATTTTTCATTTATCATTATCCCCTTTATTGTCCTCCTGCTCCTTCTTTTCCTTCGTTGGTCTCTTTCTTCCTTCTCCTCCTTCATGGTCCTCCTCCTCCTCCTCCTCCTCCTCCTCCTCCTCCTCCTCCTCCTCCTCCTCCTCCTTCATGGTCCTCCGCCTCCTCCTCCTCCTTCATCCTCCATCCTCCTCCATCCCTCCCTCCCTCCCTCCGCCATCCCCCCCAATTCCTCCCCCCTTTCCTCTCCTTATCTTCTCCCCACATCTGCTTAGTCTCCATCCTCATTAGTATCCTCCACCTTTCTCTTCATTATCATCGTCCTTTTATTCTCCATTCTAGTTTTTTTTCTATTTTGTCACCCATTTCCCCTATCTCAGATGTCACCGCTGTGTCTCTTTTCAATCCCTGAGTCTGCATACGGGCGTGCGGGCGCTTCGGCATGAGGGCGGGTGGAGTCTGGGCTTAACAATGGACATTCCTATGGGAGCCTTGCCCAGGTGGACGCCCACGTGATGTGTATGTTTACACAGGAGAGCGATCTTTTTCTGTTGGACACATACTGTTTTTTTTTTCTTTTCTTATCTTTTCTTTTTTTCTTTTCTTTTCATTATTTTTTTTTCTTATTTTGTCTTTCATTTGTGCCTTCTCTCTCTTCTTTCATGCGGTCTGTCGTACTCTGGCTTGGAGATATAGCGTTGGGGGATGTATATTTGTATGTAGATGTGTGTATGTTTACACGAGGTAGCTATTTTTTTTCTCTGTTGGACACGTGCTGTTTTCTCTCTCTCTCTCTCTCTCTCTCTCTCCCTCCCTCCCTCCCTCCCTCCCTCCCTCCCTCCCTCCCTCTCCCTCCCTCTCCCTCCCTCTCTCCCTCTCCCTCCCTCTCTCCCTCTCCCTCCCTCTCTCCCTCTCTCTTTTCCTCTCTCCCTCTCTCTTTTCCTCTCTCCCTCTCTCTTTTCCTCTCTCCCTCTCTCTTTTCCTCTCTCTCTCTCTCCCTCCCTCCCTCCCTCCCTCCCTCCCTCCCTCCCTCTCCCTCCCTCTCTCCTTCTCCCTCCCTCTCTCCCTCTCTCTTTTCCTCTCTCCCTCTCTCTTTTCCTCTCTCTCTCTCTCTCTCTCTCTCTCTCTCTCTCTCTCTCTCTCTCTCTCTCTCTCTCTCTCTCTCTCTCACATTCGCACCTTCTCTTTTCATTCTTGCAATCTCTCGTTTTCTGTCTTTCTTTACTGCAAAATGGAACGAGAGAGGAAGATGGAGAGGGAGATGGGTGACAAACATGCCAAGAAGGAGAGATACGTGAAGAAGGGGATGGGTTGATAGGGAGTGAGAAGAGAGGAAGAGAGGGAGATTTAGATGGAGAGGGAGATGGGTGACAAACATGCCAAGAAGGAGAGAGGAAAGAGAGAGAAAAGCTGGTGAGAAACAGGGCGAGAAGGGGAGAGAGACGAGAGAGGGAGAAGCAAAGTCAGAAGAAGAGAAGAGGGAGGTGCAGAGATAGAAGCAGAGAGGAGGAGAAGGAGGAGGAGGGAGAGGGCGATAAAGAAGGATAAAAGGTTGAGACAGAGAGGGAAGAGAAGGGTGTGGCAGAAAGTTCGTTAGTGTGTTCGTTCATAGGCGTTGAGGGCAGTTGGAAAAAATAGGCAAATAAATAACGGATGTGAGAGGGCGTGTGTGTGTCTGTGTTGAGACTGGGTCGGCGGGGTTGGGGACGCGGCGACGTCGGGAAAGGGGGGGAAGGGGGGGAAGGGGGGGAGAGCGAGGGCGAGAAAAGTTCTTTCTTTCTTTCTTTCTTTCATTCTTTCATTCCATCCTTCTCTATAACTTTTGGTCTTTCGTGTGGGCGTGGAAGTGAGGCATGTGCGGTGGGGGGGGGGGGGAGAAAGAGAAAGAGAAAGAGAGAGAGAGAGAGAGGTTTTTCTTTCCATTTCGTTCTTCTTTCTTTTTGTTTCTTTCTTTTTCATTCTATTGGTATGTCTCTTTCGGGTGGGCGTGGAAGTGAGGCATGTGCGGCCGGAGGGGGGGTGGGGGGGAGGAGATTAGGAGGAGGATAGGAGGAGATTAGGAGAGGGAGAGGGAGAGGGAGGGGGAGAGGGAATAAGAAGAGGAAGAGAGGGGGGGTGAAAGGACAAGAAGAGGAAGAGAGGGGGGGGTGAAAGGACAAGAAGAGTGAAGAAGTGTAGGAAGGGGAAGAGGGGAGGGATGGGGAAGAGAAGGGGATAGGGGGGGGGAGGAGGGTCTTTTTTCGGTCTTATGCCGAGGTCAGATGCCTGGATGCAAAAGAAAAAATAAATAAAAATAAATAATCGTTGGGTGTTTGTAAAAGATTATTGTTTGGGCTTTGTTTAATATTTTTTAAACTAATTTTAGCCAGAGTGTTTGTTCATTTTTTTATATTACGTTTTTGTATGCATTATTTTATTAGTTTATGATTTGGTGTATATTTTTATGTATTTTTATTTTTTTATTTTTTATTTAACCTTTATATCTGCCTATCTATATGTTTATGTATTTGCAGTTATATTTCGTTCTCTCTCTCTCTCTCTCTCTCTCTCTCTCTCTCTCTCTCTCTCTCTCTCTCTCTCTCTCTCTCTCTCTCTCTCTCTCTCTTCCTTTGCCGTTATCATGACCTTTCGTACACGTAATGAAGGGTCGCGGTTTGGGCTCTTCGGGTGACTTCATTTAAGGCCACGGATAAGGCATGTCTGACCGGGGCGTTCTCTGCGGGTTATCCACGGCACTCTGCGTGAATTACAATCATGGTGTCGTGGTATTCAAGCCCCCCACCCCCCCTCCCTCCTTTCTCATGTTTTAATTCTCTCTCTCTCTTTCTCTTTCTCTTTTTTTTTCTCTCTCTCCTCTTCTCTCTTCCCCCTCCCTCTCTCCCTGCGTTCTCGACCCCCCCCCCCCCTTCCAGCTCGTCCCCCTTCCTGATTCTTACCTAACCGTCCGTGTTCTTTTTTTTTTTTTTACTGGGCCCCAGCCCCTCCATCGTTCTTATTACCTCTATTTGTTGTTTAGGTTGTTCAGTTTATCTACCAATAGCGTCGTCGTCGTCGTCGTCGTCATCATCATCATCATCATCATCATCATCATCATCATCATCATCATCATCATCATCATCATCATCATCATCATCATCATCGTCATCATCATCGTCATCGTCATCGTCATCGTCATCGTCATCGTCATCGTCATCGTCATCGTCATCGTCATCGTCATCGTCATCGTCATCGTCATCGTCATCGTCATCACCATCGTCATCAATAATCACCATTATCGTCATCGCCACCATCACTCACCATCATCCATCATCATCATGCTTCGCCGTTCGCTCAGTCTCGGTGAATTCCGCGATTGGCAATGATGCAAATATATTAGCATTTAAAAAAAAACAAGTAATGTTTGTATTGAGTATATTTGACTCAGCAAACGATCCCTCCCCCTCCTCTTACCCCCCCCCCCCCTTGCTGGAACTCGTAAGGCAAGAAGGGTGAAGGGGAGAGGGGGGGGATGGAGGAGGGGGGAGAGAGGGAGAGTGGGGATGAGAGGGGGAGGGGGAATGAGAGGGGGAGGGGGAGTGGGGAGAGGGGAAGGGTGAGGAGGAGGAGGAGGGGGAAGGGAGGAGAGGAGATTGAAGTAAAGTTAGGTGGAGGAAGAGGAGGAGAAGGGGGGGGGCGAGGCGAATGAGGGCAGAGTCAGAGGGGGATAAGAAAAGTGAAGCAAGGAGGAGGAGGAAAGAATTTTACAGCAGGAATTGAAAAAAAAAGCATGTGGTGAAATGGTGAAGCAGGGTGAACAGGGGGGGAGGGGGAGGGGGAGGGCCAGGGATCGGGTTTGTTTAGGATGGCCTTGCTGCGTCCACGGTGAAGGTTCCAGTGGGTACTGCGTGTTCGTGTGCGTGCGTGCGCTAAGGTATTGCGTTTGCGTTTGTGTCTTTCTTGGTGGGTGTATGCGCGCGTAGTTATTTCAGTTTGACTTCTTTTTCACTCTCTCCCTCTCCCCCTCCCTCTCCCCTCCCCTCCCCCTCCCCCTCTCCCTCCCCCTCCCCCTCCCCCTCCCCCCCTCTCTCTCCCTCTCTCCCTCCCTCTCCTCTCCCCATCACTGCATATCTCAGTTCGCTTGTATCTGCATTTTGTTCTTATGAATATGAAAATTATTTGCATGAGATGAGTGAACGAGACCGAGAATACTCAGCGATGGCGTCTTGTGCAATTTTGCGGAAACTTGTGGAGTCTTGTGGAGGCGTGTGGAGTTCTGTGGAATTCTATGGAGTCGTGTGGAGTCGCGACGAACCCCGTGGATTCTGGGAGGAGCTTGCGAGAGAGGCGCGCCCAGAGCTAAGAAATCGGCGTGTCGCCCTGTCGCTCCCAAGGCTGAGTTAACTGTCTGGGACAAGGTATCTTGTTGCATGGCCTCCCCCTCTCCCCCTCCTCCCCTCCTTCCCCTCATGTCCTCTCTCTCTCCTCTCCTCTCCTCCCTTTCGTCTCTCTCTCTCTTTTTCTTTCTCTTTCTCTTTTTCTCTCTTTCTTTCTCTTTTTCTTTCTCTTTCTCTTTACTCCCTTCCCCTTGTCTCCTCTCCTTTATCAACTCCTTACTCATCCGGTTCCTCTCCTCTTTTCTGTCCTCTCCCCTCCCTCCTCTCCCTGCTCCACCCATCCAATTCCACCTCCTCCTCCTCCTCCTCCCTCCTCTTCACCTCCCCCCCCCCAAAGTTCCCCCTTCTCTTCCCCTTTCTCCATCCTCTCAACCCCCCCTCCCCCTACTCACTCCTTCCCCTCCTCCTCTCCTCTCTTTGCTTTAATCTAATTTCCCTTTCCTTCTCGTCCTGCGGTTGAGGTTCCTCTTTATTCACTCATTCACTTGTTCCTCTTTATTCTCGTTTACTCTTGCGAGGTGAGTTTGTATGTTTATTTTGTTATTTTTTCATTCGTTGATATTACTTTTTTTTATTTTTGCTTCGTTCTTGTCTTCTTTGTGTTCATTTTCCTCTGCTTGTTCTTCTCCTTTCTCTCTGTCTTACTGGGTCGTGCTCTTTCCTTCACGTTTTATTCCGTTTCGTGACCTGTTATCCTCATATGCTCCTCTTCCCCTACCATCGCCCTCTCCGTATCTTCGTCGCCATCATCCTCACATTCCCCTCCCCCCATTCCTCGCCCCCCCCCCCTCCATACAATCATTATTATCCGCTGTCTACTTCCTGTTCCTCTTCCTGTTCCTCTTCCTCTTCCTTTGCTTTCAGCTTTCGCTTCATCCTTCGTTCCTCCATCCTTCTTTCGTTTCATCCTTTATTCCATTAATTCTTCGTTCTTTCCTTCTCTCTACACTTCTCTTTCTTCATTCCTTTTTTTCATATTTTTCTTTATTAATCTTTCAGTCTTCTTTCCTCACATTAATGCATTCTTTCATTCATTATCCTCTTATCTCCAAATATCCATAGCCTTCTTAT